TTAGGCCTTGACAAATTTTGAGTCCTTTATTTTGGGTAAGACTAATAAGTTCACTATATGTTAATTGGTCATAAGGAATCTAATCACCAAAGACATCATTGATCCTAGTTCTAACCTTTTCACCTAGAAGGATTAGAAGACTTGTAAGGAATTTCTCTTTCCGGAATGATTGGTTAGAGTCTTCTCTAAGCATGAATGCAGTAAGGAAAGTGGTTTTATAATATTAGAAATCATCGAGTTTTTTACACCTAAGGTTACTTAGTAGTTTAACATTTTTATCTTTTAGGTGTGAAGGGTCTCTTATGAAATGAAGGAAAATAGTCGGGATGAAGGTTGACACGACATCTTGAATTGGTTCACCTAAATCATCTAAGATAAGGAGTCCTTCTTGATTAGTTTGTATGGAATTTAGGATTCTTAGTGTTGTTGGGCGGTGAGATAGTAATCCCACCATCCGTTTAACTAGCACTGAAAAACCAACAATAAGGAGTTCGTTATGGAACGGTCCGGGGTTCCAGTTGGGTTTTGTAGGCGTTAGCCACCATGGTCATTTGCTAGAGTAAGCTCGAGATGTTATACTCGAGAGTCCATCAATGTTCCATTAGTAAATGGAAGAGGCATTGAACCTAGGTTGAGCTAACTTGTTTGGAATTTCTCCTATGTCTAGGGTAGTGATCATAGGCGGAGGGTTTTTCCAATGGAGTTTATTAATTTCGGGGAAAGATTATGTCTTTGAGTTTTGGTCTAACATATTGATGCTATAGGATTGAGGTGTCTTAGGTGCTATTTGTTTAGAGGTTCCTATAGAGGAAACTTCTATTTTACTAAGTCGATCTATAATGGCTTTCGAAACTTATGCTTGTTGGTTTGGATTTGTTGTTGGCTTGTCCTAGAAACTCGAACGAGGTTTAAAAATAGGGTTTTTAAGTTTTCTATCTGCAGTGTGGTTTCTAAGGACAATTTTTGGGGAAACAACTGTCTTCGGATATGATTTTCTATCCTAACTAGTTGTTTTCCTATGGTTTGAAGGTTAGCATTGAAAAAATTATTACGTTAAACAATGTTTTAGATGTTAACGAGTCATCATCCTTGGGTATTTTGTAAGGACATGCTTATATTTTGGCTTCTCCAGTGGGAAAAGGTGAGTTTTCTAGGAGGAGGACGTTCAAACTGGATAGTCTTTCCTTCTACTTCCCAAAGGAGAGCTTTGTTTCTAGTGGTAACATGATTTACTTGTTCTAATAAATGGATAAGAAATATTGTTATTACTAACATACAATTCAAACCAATCAACGAACAGAATATAAACTTTATGTAGATTTATAAATTCATAAAATTCATTTCAAATATCTTTCCTGTTGTCAAGAAAGTTTTTAAAGAACCAAATTCTTTTTTCAAAATTATGTTTTGCATATAAATCATTATGCGGATATTTTTTATCTATTTCAAATGCATCATCGGACAAAGCATTACATTCATTTGTAATATTTTTAGTGATAACGGATGCGGTAGGTGATAAAGGGGAGAACCATCCTGGTTTGTATATCCGGGTTTTGAGATGTTTGTGCAATAATCAACATTTTGTAAAACGAGATTTGGAACATCGAAGTTGAAAGCCTATGATGTATACTAGGGAATGGTAGACCTTGGTCTAAGTTCGTATTTTTCCTAGTATTTGGTAAATTTATAACGAGAGGAATTTCGAAATTCTACCTAAGTCAAAAGTTTGAGAACTAGAGGCAACATCGGAAAATCTACTACTGGTAAATTTTACGTCAAATGAGAGTCTAACACTCCCATCTATCTGTTGTGCTATAGATCCGATTTGGGTATTTGGTTTCGAAATTTCGGAATTAGTAGAAATTCGAGTTTGCTTATGCCTTCTAAGATCCATTCATCATGTAAGACTATATCCGTCCACCTAATGGGTCTAGGAATGATAGTATTAAACTTAGTCAAGTCTCGTTTATAGGAGAAAGGTCTCCCCTTGGTCGATCGTCTTTTGTGTTTTGAAGAAAAGTAGAGTTCATGGCCTTATAATGGATTTTTGTAATCAATGCTACTGGGATTGATAATTCCATCATATTATAATTATGGGTTTTGACTTGGAGTACTAAAGACTCCGAATGTTTTTATCACTCAAAGAAGCGTAAAATTTGGATAGCAATCAAAAGATATAGGTCCATCGCATAAATTGGATTCTATAGAGCTAAGCGAGAGAATCCTAAAAATTGGTAAACCTATTGTCTCTAAGACTCGCCGGGATTGAGGTGTTCAATCCTTCTTTTGTAAGTGGTTTAATCCCCACTTGGACTAAACTTATATGAATGTATTTGAAATTTTTGTCTCCATGTTTTTGAAGAGTTTTTGAAGAGAGGAGGTGAATCGTTTCAAAGGGTTTCAAAAGTCGAATATCCCTCTCTTCGATTTTGATAGTAAAATCTGTTTTGAAAAGATTATATTTTGAGGTTTTGTAAATTTCGTCTTTGTGAATATTGAGTATTGCCCAATCATCAATTTGTTTTTCAAAATCTTCAATCACATATTCTCGCACTATTAATTATTTTCCTTGATTCGGAAGAATCGAAGTAGAAGAATTCGTAAAAGGAGGTAGATCTACGGAATATAGAGTCCATGACTAGACTATGGTTTGGAGCATGGGATACGCGAGTTATGAAGGTGATATCTCCGATTTCTCGCCTAACCTTAAGGACTTACAACGACCACATCGACTCAATTGTCTATACCCACGACTACGTAACGGAATCTAAACATGAACAACATAAACAATAAACATACAACCCCCACAACCTAGGCTCTAACCACTACCAAACACTATTTTACCTACTCATATTGGGATTATCAACGAGCTCGGTTTAATACCCTCTTCTTACAAAATAAAAGAGGAAGCCACTCGTAACTCTTTTATTTTGATACAAAAATCGAGACCTTAAAAATTTCTATGTGGTTCCTCCAATGGTGGAATTTTTTTGGCTCCATCCCGAAATACTTATCCTAAGTGTTTCGAAAGCTACAAACTTTACCAATTAAATTATAACCCTTTAGAAAAAGAAAAACGTTTTCCCCTTCTTTTCCTTTTACGTACAAAATTCTTTTTACCATGGGTTTGTTCTTGGTATTATGATGCCAAATATCGGGATACTACCTTAATCTTAACCGGGAGATTCAAAGTCAAATGGTGGGATGCTTTCAATATTCCTTCCTCATTGTCAAAAGCCTCGGTGGAACAATGGCTCACAAAACGAGACTTACTCAAGCCAAGCTTGGCCACTTCGAGCTTCACGGCCTAAAGATCCTTTCGTTACGGCCAAGTTAGCATTAACAAAAGCGAAGAAGAATACTTTGCAATCATGTCACCATTATCGCAAAGTAGGTCGGAATCCTCCCAAGCATTAGATTCGAATCGATTCGAACCCGCCATAAACACAGGTGACGACAATGAAAATGACTGCTTTGGAATATTCCCTCCTATACACCACTTATAAGTTACGGGAACAAAATTACTTTCGGTGTCTTATTGTTCATCCACATGTGAAGACACTCGTTCAAGACAAAAACAAAAATACTTTCGATGTCTTACTCGTTTACACACGTGAGGATACTCGTTCAAAACAACTTTCTCTTCTATATAAGAAAGCTCATTTCTCATTTGTAATCGTAGTGTATTTTTTTAGCCAATTACTTAGAACATCGTTTTCCTTTGTAACCGTGTTCTCTTGTAATCCTTTAGAAATATTCAAAACAAAACATCAAGGAAATCAAATAAATTTACGTGTACTCTTGCTTACCCAAAATTGTAAGTTATTTTATCAATAAATAAAATTTCTTACTTTTATTCTATATCTTGAGTCTAAGGTATATCGGCTGGAAACCAATAGCAAAACCTTTAAGGACTCGTCCGATCCTATCAAGTGGTTTAAACTTTGATATAACAATGCCACGTACCTAGAGTCCGTTTTAATTTCCCGTTCCATATTTGTTAATTGCTGGTTCTGCCACCCAATTCTATTTCCCTGCTTTCAATTTTGTATTTCAATCTATTTAATTTCATATCTGCATCATTCATTTATTTTCCTATATATATATATATATATATATATATATATATATATATATATAACTGCTCCCCCTAGTCCCTAGTTTTTTTCTAAACCTAGCCAAGGTGCATTTCCCTCCGGCTTCATCTTCCACCTGACTTGAGGGCACTCTGTCTCCTTATCACCACCCAGAAGCAGTGAGGAGATCAATGGTCATCTTGATCAGATCAAGACATTGCTAGCAGAAGTCCAGTTGCATTACCCTAGGATGATAGGAAATGTACTCCATCTCTTAATGTTTCTTGAAAAGACTCGATATCAAACATGGAACGATGATAGCTTTGCTATATACTAGCTTTCAACAATGATGAATGATGAATCAAAAGTCTAGACAAATGGCAGTCCAAATGAGCTAATATGTTTTTTTAAAAGAGAGAGAGAGAGAGGTAGCCCAGACGAGATCACACCCCTTTCCTCCTTTCACGAATGGAAGTTCAAAAAAAAAAAAAAAAGAATCTCGAGAAACAAGTATTCTTTGGAGATAGTGGCACCAAAAGCAGAGCAACAAAGTTACAACCAGAATTAACAAATTGATCCAGAATCTTGTTAGTAATGATGGATAAGCATCCAAGACTTATCCAAGCATACACTATACAAGATTTTTGCCAAGTGCAGCCACGTTGCATTTACATGCTCTTATAGTTGTTTGCTATTGCACAAGGCTGGTTGTGGTTGATACATATAAACTAATCAATTATTGCACTTGAATACACTCCTTTCGTGCTCTCAACTCACTTCAGCTACACATGTAATACCCATACATGTTTGAAAGATATTACCACCTTTACTTTGAGTGAAGTTTCAAGAAAGCACTAGAGTAAGTTGTAGTAGGAACCAGACACAAGACAAAGACATGCTACGGCAACCTTCGGAAGCACAAAGTTAATGACGCTTTTTCCCAGTTGCTACTTCCCAACCTTGTAAAATGTGGTTCACAATTTCCTCTATGCCAAGCCCATGCTTCACCTGCATATGCATTATGAACAGGGCAGGAAATAAAGGCACTTTTAAGAGAAGGGTTATAAACATAGGTTGTCTCATTGCATAGAGCAGCTTGCAACGTGGCAGACCAAAGAATTAAACCGTTCAAGAACAAAAAATGTGAGAAGATGACAAGTGCAAAATTATTGTTGACAAACATTGAACAGTTGGATGGGACGGGCTACATAACTAAAGGATATCCTAAAAATGATCCATACTCCGAAGAGAGAAGGGAGAATTGTGAAATAACCATCAACTGTAACCCCAAAAGGACTAGATTCTATAAACAACAGAGGAAAAATGAAAAGAATAACTTATTCATGTAGTGCTATTTTTTTCACTAAATATGCCATGGTCAATTGGACGTGGAACGTCCAGCAACGACACAAAATGTACTCCACAACAGAAATATATGGGTTATGTATATTATCCAACAAACTGGTAAGTAGATCAATTCATTGTGCAGAATTCTGCATAAAATTTCTTGTAAGCTCACACGTTCTATGGCAATAGTGATTCACGTATCATGTTCTGTGTGTGTGTAGAATGGCTAAAAGGCCCAAAACTGCAACATCTTTTGACTCTGTATGTATCGTTCTTCCTGAGTAGAAGTGGTGAGACAGTGCTCTGTAGTAGTGATGCTGCAGTATGGGATAGCATGCAAAAGTGAAAGGCATGGGAGGAAAAGCAGACAATCTGAACAGAGGATAACCTAGTGGAAGGTGAAGATTTGAGGATCGTAGAGGGCAGTACCCCTAATTCATTCTGGGGTGCTCCCTGGATACTCCAAAGACACACCCCAGTCAGGTGGTAGCACACACAATCCTCAGCATTTGGAGATACTTGGTGATACAACGCTCCACCATCGCTCAAGTCTTCACCTCCCACTCCTCTCTCTGTTGCCTTCTTTCCTGTACTGCATCATTACAAGCATACAACAGTCCCTCTCTGCTTTTACTTGGAAAGAACCCCTATCACAAGCAGTGTGGTCTTGCACTTCAAACATGAGCAGGGTTGGTGAAATTTGGAGTGTTCTTAAAATTCAGTCCACTTGTATTCTTTCATTTCTTTTCTGAATATCAGTATCAAAGGTAATTTGATCTCCTAATCTATCTTGTATATTCGAAAGCGTTAGACAACAAATAACAAGATCATAGTGAGTTCACCATAAACAAAGGTCAAACCAAAGAAACAGAGAGCTAAACTGACCTGAGCAAAAACAAATGGCCCTCCATCCCGCATTCTAAGTGCATCACGCTCCATTACGGCTAGGTCAGCTCCAACTGCCGGCGCAAGGTCAGTCTTGTTTATGACCTAAGATATGATACACAATCAAATCAGACCTCCTGGTAATGGTACATTTCTAAAATTGGCCAACAAGATTGACCTCAGAAAGACCGGAAGGTGCTACCCGATAGAAGAAGAAGCTATGAGAATGAGAAAACATACAAGGAGATCAGCTTGGGTGATGCCTGGCCCACCTTTCCGAGGAATTTTATCACCAGCAGATACATCTATTATATAGATGATATAGTCAGCCAGTTCCCTACTGAAGTTGGCAGCTAAATTATCTGCACCATACAAGTTCCAGTAGATGATATAGTCAGCCAGTTCTTTGCTAATCAAACTTAAGTGCATATAACTAAATTTTTAAGGTAGCATTACTCTTCTTAGCGAACTTATTTTTCAACGCGTTAGAAATAGAACTGCCCAAATTCTTCATCACTATCTAACTTATCCTAACATGAACAAAAACCACTTACCTAGAGTAATATGCAATAAAATCAAGTGTAATGTTCAGCTATCATCAATTTAATGTCAGTTTACAGTCATTTAAATATGTACAGTGGTATTCTGTATCGAGTCACCTCCACCAGATTCACAAAGAAGTAGGTCTGCTTTGAACAAGTTAGAAAGCTCCTCAAGAGGGCCAAGGTTAATGCTGATATCTTCACGAATCGCAGCATGTGGGCAGCCTCCAGTTTCAACAGCACGGATCCTCTCCTCAGGCAGTGCTCCATGCTTAACCAAGAACTCACCATCCTCTTTTGTGAATATATCATTTGTAACCTGAAATAACAGCATAACTCTTGAGCTCTTAATCAATCTCTCAATCTACATGACCATGCATTTAAAACGATTAACAGTAGAGAAGAACACAAATTATGCCTGATCGGAGAATTTGAGGCATAAAGCTCTTAGTTGAGCCTGCATTATTTTGCTTGAATCTGCAGATGTTTGTGCGAAGCCTCAACCTCAAACAAAAGGTTTGAGGTGTATTTGCAAAGATTGATAGCTATTTACAAATTAATGTTCTTTATATCACCACAAACAAAAGAAAAATGAACTCCCTTCCGGGCGTAGCCGCAGCTGCTAATTTGCTGAGTCAGCTAAAATTGGGTTCATTGAGTTGAACTATTAACGTTCAATAATAATCAATCAAGTTGAAATTCAACAAAAAGTAAAGAATGTCAAAATTTCGTATTAGATTTGAACTCACAGCAGCAAGACTGTACTTGTCACGCAAGAATTTACACAAAGCCAGCATCAAAGCTGTTTTCCTGACCAGCAGGAAATATATCATTTAGTTAGCAATTAACACCTGGAGTTAATTAAGTGAAAAACGAATTAGAAGGGAAACTAAAGAGATACCCAGTACCAACAGGGCCACCAATGCCAACAGTGAAAGCTCTTTCATTGAAATCCCTTGTAAGGATTGGTTGCGCTCTCCTGCTAAAGAAGCCAGGAGAGTATATGGGTTCATGGGAATGTGAAGCTAGTCCATCATGGCTATGGTACACCCTTCCATCTGGGCCAACCCATGATGATGTTTTCCTGCTCCATCATCAAGAATCACACTCTATATATATATATATATATATATATATATATATATATATATATATATATCAAACAAACAAACAAACAAAACAACAATAATGAATGGAATGAATTGGAGATAAAATATCTTACCCGTCATGGGTATGGTCATGCTGATGGTGGTGATGGTCGTGGTGGTGATCGTGGTGTGTATGGTGATCTTGTGAAGCCATTGACTATAGTCTGCTAAAGATTTCCCAGCTGTGACCGACTAGAAAGCAGGAAACGAAGCCAGCTGCTGAGGCATATGGACTGTGATGACACTGCTACTATATCATTAAGAGGCTAAGTGTCGTTTTGTGGGAATTAGGATGTTGTTATTAGGTCATGATTTTTTTTTTTTTTTTTTTACTAATTTGATGCGCCGATTGTTTCTTTGCCGTTAGCAGTTTACATCTCTATGTCTCATTTATTAGTTTTATGAAATGTTATCGGATCTCCATCAAAGACTATTGCGACAATTTAAATGTCCAAATTGCATATACTACAACTATGTAAATGACTTGTCATTCATTCAAATTGTAATAGCCAACTAGAGGACATACAGTTTGTCCAGTCATCTTCTAAAGAAAATATGGCAAATGATTCATAACAATCCTAGAAAAATATCTTAATATCGACAGATCCAATGATGATACACATTATTTGAAATAACCAAGTTAGAAAAAAAATCAAAACATCTCATTGCTACAAATACTAAAAAATAAAAACAAAAACAAAAGAATCTCCTTAAAAATTTAAACTTTCACAAAGTAAATGTCAACTAAAATCACCCATGAGCTACATAAGATAAATAAAGACTAGTCTGTTAAGAGTCTTGGGTGGATGAGTTAAAAAAAGAGAGAGAGAGAGATGAAGAAAATTTTGTTTTTGGGACCCAAATTGAAACCAAAAAAAAAATTGGAGGGTGGGTGTGAAAGAATGAAAAAAACAATAGAAGAAATCTTCATGGTGCCTCCCTAGGTTACTAACTCAGCAGCTCAAACAAATATGTGGTGCATTTAGCATAGGATACTGCAATATTGCCGTGTATTGAAGGGCGACTCCATGAGTAAATTATAAATTAATCTCTCATTTTGAGAAAAAAAAAAATAATTATTCTATTTCATTTTAAAAACTAATAATTTAATCTTTATATTTTGAAATCTGTTTGTAATTTTTTCCTTTTGCTACTTTTTTTTAATTTTTTTGTTTTAAGAAATGGAAAAATAAAAAAATAAAAAAAATTGATGTGAAACTAAGAGATTTTGTAGAGTAAAAATAATATTAAATTAAACATAGTCAACACTAATTAAAGGACTAAATAGTAGTTTTTGAAACGAGAAAGACTAACAATTTTGTTTCTTGAAACTAGAGAGACTAATTTATAATTTAGTCTTTATTTGAATATGCACGCTACATAAAATTTAGACTAATAAATAATATATTTATTTTATATATAAACATTTCAAATTTCTTATTTGCTAATTCAGATTTTCAATTCACATACTGAACTCAGCATGAAACATATATAGGAGTAATAAACTAAAGGTGTCTAATTTTTCAAGAATACGTATGTTATCTGTTTTCTTTATTAGTTTCAAATTTTTGAAAAAAAAACATAAAAATTTTGCATATATTGATCCTTTTTGTGAAAAAAGAAGCAAAAAAAATATCTAACAATCACATCCGGCATCATTTTCAAAATTCACTTTGTTTGTTGTTGAAAATTTTTTATGGTTGGTCGTTAGATCCTTTTTTAAGTGGGCTCTATCGTGAAAAAATATAATTTTTTTCACCCTCAATTATAAATGAAATTTCCATAAAAAATTACATGAAGATGCTTTGGATAAGTAAAATTTATCTTATCCTTTTTATTTCTAATTATCAAGAATTTGAACAAAAAATGGATTTAGAGGATTGAATAAAAATTGGTTATTTTGTTATTTCTTGAACTTAATAAATGAATTTGTTCGAAAATTTAGTTTCAATTTTAAGAGACTCTTCCTAATAGACTAATAGAAAAAAAAAATTCCAAAATAACTATAAAAAGAGATAAAAAAAGATGTGACCGCCTCCTATATATTTTATACCTTCTCCTGTGAAGAAACTCGTAAATCCGACTCCATTGGTAATTCTATCAATTGCTTGTCTATCAAAAAAAAAAAAGTTAATTATGCTATTCTTTTTTTTTTTTTTAACTCATATACCCAAGACTCCTAGTAGAATTAGTTTACTAGGATTTGAACTCATGACCTCTTATTGCAATAAGCTACAATCACTAGATTACAAGCTCTTTGATGTAATTCGACCAGTCTTCTTATACCTTCTATTAAAGATAAAACATCTACATAACCATGATTATAGGACTAATCATATGTCACACTTATTATTTTGTCCCAAAGAATTCTCTTATGATCGTTTTTAACAAATTAAAGAACTTTAAATTTAATAAGGATGAATAAATCCACTTATATAAAGAAAACACTATAAATATCCCAAATAAGCTATACTAACTAACCAAGTTGTACTTGTTACAAATTCATAACAATTTACGGACTCTTTTTGATGTAAAAGACTTAAAGACGAGATTAAGAGTTTGGATAATATATCCAAATTCATTTCTTCTTGATTGAATTGATTAAAAGGGATTCTTATAGTTCCAATAAAGAAGGTAAATAGTATCAAAATAAGCATAAAAAATAATATAGTATTGTTCGATTCCTGGAGATAGGAAAAAATTCTTTTAGTTCCATAATGATTGATAATACTAAAAAGACATGTCATATTTCTTACGATACTATAAGCTGATATGTTTTCTTCCTAAAAAAAAAAAAAAAAGCTCTTTCATTATTATATATTGTTAATAAAGGTAGTAAATGAAAAATTTTTAAAGCATTTTTTTATCCCTCTTTACCTCGTGGAGATATTGAATAGAATGCATTATTTTTCTTACCATTATAATTTTGAAAATAAATATTTAAATTCCCTTCAAAAGTAAGTAAATAAACTTGAAACATATATGATGCAATTAATCCTATTATGAAAAAAGCTATTATTGCGAAAATAGGTGAATATGACCAACTATCATTAAGAATTTCATATCTGCACCAAAAATAGGTGAGAGGTGGAATACCACAAAGAGAAAGGGTTCCTAATAGAAAACAATTTTTATAATTGGAACATGATTTTTTAAACTACCCATAAGAACCATATTTTGACTCTTATCTAGAGAATAACCAACAATTAGTTCCATTGAATGAATAATAGATCCAGTTCCTAAGAACAACAATGTTTTCGAATAATCATGAGTAATCAAATGAAATCAAATGGCTCAATAAGAGCCCATACCTAAAGCTAATATTGTATAACCTAATTAAGATATTGTAAAATTGGTTAAACCTCTCTTAATATTTGTTTGAGCAAAAGCTAAAGTAGCTCCTAATAGTGCTGTTATTATAGCTATCAAAGCTATTAGCTTCATTATGTAAGGTATAACTATGAAAAGAGAAAGAAATCTAGCTACAAGAAAAATTCTAGCTGCTACCATAGTAACGAGAATGTATTAGAGTTGAAATAGGGATAGGACCTTCCATGGCATTCAGGTGACCACACATGAAGGGGGAATTGGGCCGATTTAGCAATTACACCAAAAAATAACGAACGACACATAAGGTAACAAAAAAGAAAAAAGAAAAAAGAAAAAAGAAATGAACCTCATTATTATAAATCAAGTTATTGAATATTTCAATCAAATCCTAAAATTCAAAAATGCCTATTATCCAATAAAGACCTAAAATTCCTAATAATAAACCAAAATCCCTTAAACGATTAGTTATGAATGCTTTTTGACAAGCATTGGATACAATAGGTCATGTGAACCAAAACCTATTAATAGGTAAAAACACATTCTAACCAATTCCCAAAAAGTATAAATTTGTATTAAATTTGAAATGGTAACTAATCCTAATATTGCAATATTGACAAGAATGATATAAACAAAAAATCTCAAATAGCCTTGCTCATAAGACATATAACTATCACTATAAACAAGAATCAAAATCCCAACCGTAGTAATTAATATTAACAAAATAAAAATAAGTGGGTCAATCAAGTACCCGAGCTCTAAGTAAAAATCATTGTTGATGGTCCAAGACCATGCATATTGATAAATTAAACTACTATTTATTTGATGAATAAACGGATCGATAAAAAAAACAAAATCATAACTTTACTTAACAATAAAATACTCGAAAAAGCCCATAAACGATGAAATTTTCTTGTTGATGTCGGAAAAAGTAGGAGTCCCATTCCTAATAATATAGGGACTAAAAGTGTAACAAAAAATATAATCCATAAATTTTGATATGTATGTTCCATAAAAAAAATCTTATTATTTTTTGTTTAATTAATAATAATTAATTCTTTCTTGTTCATTCGTTGACTTCTACCTCTTTTTAATTTTAAAAGAATCGATCAATTAAATAATATATATATATATATGCTATCGCCTACTTAGTGTTCCGTGTTATACATGCTAATATGCTACTTGTTTTATCTATTTCTCAATTTTCTAGTCCGATTCTTCGATGCATCTTTTAGGTTTACCTTTGCTTTTGATTAGGCTTTCTTCATTCGTAATATGTAACCCAAAAGTTATGTTTATGCAAAAACATATTCGATTCCGTTACACATGCTAGTATGCTACTTGTTTTGTCGATTTATAGGAGGCTAATAGGGATAGGGTAGGCGGTATATATATATTTGTTTAAAGAGTGTGAACTATGAAGCTTAATACTCTTTTTCTTTTGTTATTTATATAAATATTACAATCTCAATCCGAAGAGATGAATTATGAACATGTAGATTTAAGCAATCCCAATCCATAATCAAGTGTAGCTCCAAGTAACACTCAATGAGATGGAAAAGGAAAGAAGAGGAAAGCAATGAAGCCAAGATCGATGGTGTGGAACCATTTCACAAAGTTTGAAGATGACAAGAAAGACATAAAGGCTAAATGCAACTATTGTGATAAGGTATTTGCTTGTGATCCTTCAAAAAATGGGAAAACCTCCCTTAGGTCTCATGTTTTGACTTGCGAAAAAAAAAAAACCCTTTTAGTTCTATTGACTCTACACAAACTCAATTAGAATTTAGAAGGCTTGAAGTGGGAGAAAATAGTCTTAGTACATGGAAGTTTGATCAAAATGTTAGTAGAAAAGATTTAGTTAAAATGATCATTCTAGATGAACTTCCATTTAAGCATATAAAGGGCAGGGGATTCAAAAAGTTTTTATCTAATTTGCAACCTAGATTCAAACTTTCACCTCGTTTTACAATTTCAAGAGATTGCTTGTCAACTTTATTTAGATGAGAAAATAAAGTTGAAGCACTTTTTGAAACAAAATACTCAAAGAATTAGCCTCATTACGAACACATGGACATCTATTCAAAGAATCAATTACATGTGTTTAACGGATCATTTTATTGATAATGATTGAAAGTTATATGAAAAGATCTTTAATTTTTGTCGATTGACGAGTCATAAGGGAGTAGATTTAGGCATTGCCATTGAGAAATGCTTGATTGATTGAGGAATTTAGAAGGTTTTTAATGCTACGGTTGATAATGCAAGTTCGAATGATGTGGCAATTATGTACTTAAAAGATGTGATTAAGAATTGGGGTTATAACATCTTAGATGGTGAATTCATTCAAATGAGGTATATGACACATACTTTGAATCTAGTTGTTGTTGATGAGTTAAAACATTTTAATCCTTTAATCGTTCATATTCGATCAGCTGTTAGGTTTGTGAGGCAATCTCCAGCTAGGTTGAAAGATTTAAGGAATGCATTTAACTTGAGAAAATTGATTCTAGGAGTTTGTTACAATTAGATGTCTAAACTAGGTGGAATTTAACATATTTGATGTTAGAGTCGGCTTTGAAGTTTGAGAGAGCTTTTAAGAGATATGAGCAAATTGATCCTTTATATTGGAGTGAATTTGATGTAGATTATGGTGATAATGTTGTTGGGTCACCTAATGTTGATGATTGGAAGACTTACAAGAAGATGGTGGGCATGTATAAATTTTTTACAATCTTACTTTGCACATTTTGAGTTCTTTATATGTGACTTCAAATATTTATTTTAAAGAGATTTATGAGCTCGAACATATTTTGAAAAAATGACAACGAAGTGGGGATTTGGATGATTTTACATTGTCCAATAAAATGAAATAAAAGTTTGAGAAGTATTGAGGGAATATTAAGAAAATGAATAAGTTGATTTATATTGCAACAATACTTGATCCTAGGCATAAACTTGTATTTATTAAATTTTCAATCAAGAAATTCTATGGTGATTTGGAGGTTCAAAGAATGTCAAATATTATCAAGGAATCTATATATGCGATGTATGATTTCTTTTGTCATTCGTCAACATCTCAAGATGAAATTGGTCAAGGTAATGGGAGTCGAGGAATAGATGTGGATTGAACAAATGAAAAGATGATTGATGAAGAAAAAAATAGAGTAAAGAGGGAGATAATGATACGTTTTGAAAAATACAAGTGTGATATTGGAGGTGGAGGAAATAAAACGGAGTTAGATAAATATCTTAATAAAGGTGCTGAAAATAATAGTGTTGATTTTAATATTTTAGAGTGGTAAAAAACTAATTCTCCTCGATTTTTAATCCTTTCACAAATGGCTAGGGATGTATTGATGGTTTCTGTTTTTACTCGTTTCCTCGGAATCGACATTTAGCACCGGAGAAAGAGTTCTTAACTACTTTAGGAGTTTGTTAACTTCTAACTTAGGTGAATCTCTTATATGTGCTTAAGATTGGATTACAAATTCATCGACGCTAATTATTATTGAAGAAAATTTACAAGATATTGAGAAAATGTAAGATGGTGATTTCTATAACTCTAGCTTATCGTTTGTTATTTCTTTCCTCTACATTAATGTTAAAAGATTAATTTTTTTATCTTATAATTTTCGTAGTTACCAATTGTCACTACCTCTACTACAAATGCTTAATGGATTGATGACGTGACGGTGTTTTGGCTTTTTGAATGATATGTGTAAGTTATTAAGTTTCTAAGTTTTATTTTATTTTTTATTTACGTTGTTTGTGCAATTCAGCAAGTGGGATTTGTAAATTTCCATTTTTAGTTGTCTCAAGTATGCAATCATAGAAGGGTATTACCTAGTGCCTAACAAAGAATAATTTGGCCTAAAGAAAGGTCACAACTGCGTATATAAATTGAGACCTTGTTGTTACAGCATCACAAATTACAAAAGCGTATTGCCTAGTGCTTAACAAAGAATAATTTTCTTGAAGAACGTATTTTCTTCTTGGTATATATGTTGATTTTACTTAATTTGACCAAAACTTGTGTTATTTTGGATTTTAGTTCATTCTTTATGATGTGTTTTCTCCTTTTCTTTTGCCTAGGTGAGCACCGAGTAATCATTGTCAATTGACATATATCATTTTGCACTTAGTCGTTGTAAGTTAAATGGTGTATTATTACTATTTTTTAGTTGAGCATAGCTCGGATATAGGACTCGGTGACTATCTTTCTCATAGTTACATGTGGAAGGAAAATTAGAAACTAAGTAGGTATTACCATCACAAGTCATCCGAGTTAAAGGTATAATCCATAATTCACTCGCATATAATAGCTACTTTGGAGTTCGAAGTCACTCTTTATTTGCTTTTAACTTATTTTTTTTCTTTTTCCATTTCCATCGATCATTTGGGTTCAACATTCGTGTCTTGTTTTGTTTGAATTAGCACTTGATTTCTCTATCTTGATCGTCGGACCTTGGAATCCGGGAGGACTCATTAGCCGGGTGTTACTGGATTTTGAGGCCATTATACGTAAGTAGGTTTTTGTTAGTAGATAAGGACTCGTTTACCCAAAAGTATCCTAGAAGTGAGGTTTGGTTTATTTTCGGTTGAGTGTTTGGTGATGCATGTTTTACAAAAGTGTAAGTTGGGATTGAAATAACATCAATTTGGCAAGGCTCGTTTTTTATGGTTTTAATATGAATCTAAAAGCACCAAAAAAGCATCAATTAGGCTACAACCATGCATTATATTTTCCTACCTTCTAATTTCTAAATATTTTTTTGATGTGAACTTTTGCTCAAACTCACTTTCTAGCTAAATGTTAGGCATTTCATTGTGGTTTTTTTTTTTTTTAATTTCCACTCATTTTAAGTGATAGGACTAGAATCAAATGAGGTTTTATATAAACCAGCTTACATTCTCCATTTTCTTCAATCCATTGTCAAGTTCAACATTTCTTCAATTCAGTTTTGAGGCTAATATATACTATTTACGAGAAAACTTATCACTGCTACTATAATAAAATTTTAATTTCTAATAACATTTCGAATTAAAATGTAGTACAACCTAGCAAGTGGGTGTGTGAGACTCGTCAACTATGGAAGGAGGCTCAAGGTTGTCCAAGCAAAGCAAAATTGCATCGGTGCAAGACCTCACTTAATTGTGGGCAATTTTCTTTTTGGATGTGTAGTAATTTGGTGCATTGTCTTTGTTGTGTGCATCTTAATTCTTAACTCCTTCCTTTCTTTTTCCCATATTGTTTCAACATGTTTCGAATTCGACATGTGACTATGAGTTTTGCATTCCATAAACCATGACTTAAGAGTTTTGGATTTATTGCTAGACAAAATAGAAGTTTTTGGAGTACCCTTTTCTAATGTTTCTTGTGTCGTTGAACGTAGCAGCATTGCTTTGCATTGTCCTCTCGCATATTTAACCAAATTTGTGAAGATGGAAGTGATCCATTTGAATTTCTTAGCTTATCCAGCCATGTGATAGTCCTCTTTAGTCTCTCCAACATCCTTTTCCAAAAGTTTCTATTTCTCCCCTGAAAAATGAGAATTTAAGACATCAAATCCTTGAGTCGTTTCATTTCTTTTAATAGTATACTAAATCTTAGCTTTAGTCTTATGTCTTCATTTTTTTGCTTATTTTCTTAGTTTAGACTTACCTTTCCAAGTTCTAAGGGATGGTTAGATTTTAAATTAGTGCTGAAAAAAGTAGTTTCTAATAACATAATTGAGTTATTGAGTGTTGGTTCATGGTTGCATGTAAGTTGTAGATGGTGAGATTTGTAACCATTGTTTCCGAGTGAGTGTTGCTATCAATATCATGAATTGATTTTACTCTTGAAGTTTAATTGAGACTTAAGAGTTTAGATTGAATGCGGGATTGGTTGCTAGATCTTTGGTAAAATAAATCCATGCTCAAGCCTCTTCGTTTTTTCACTTAGGAAACTAGGACATCCGGGATCACATGACAATTTTTTTTTCCTAGCAAAACATGTTGGGTTAAACGGAATTATTTTGAAATCGAATCGAAATAATTCAGTTTCAAATTGAATTAACCGAAGTAATTTTGGTTCGGTTTTGGTTTTTATTTTTTCTACTTCATTTAACCGAAAACCGAACCTAATTATGCTTAACCGAACTGTTTAAACGAATGATCACCCCTACTTAAGCCATTATATACAGAAATGTTAGGTTATTAACAATAAAATTTACGCTAACATTAAAAAAGAAAAAAAGAAAGAAAGAAAGAATCAATAACTTTTAAATAAACTAAAAATAAAATGTTCAAATAGAAAAATAATAAAATATTGAGCTATGTACAATATTTCTGTTCTGGTAATTTACATCACTCGTTCAATTCTTATGCAAATATATTACTTACAACTTTATAGTATCTTACATGAAGAACTAGTTGCACAATTGCTTACATGTTCCCTTTCTAGTGCCAAATACGACCCTATCTAGGACTAACAAAGACAACCACTAGAGATCTTCATATCCAAGGTAGCTAACTGTGCTATATATTACACACTACTTTTTGATGCATGAACTCCATCAATTTATGTTTCTAGCTTTTGTGATTGAACTTTTACACTTGAATGAAGTGCAAGCATCAAAAAGAAGAAAAAAAAAAGGAAAAAGAATAAAGAAAAAAGAAAGAAAGAAGATTAATTAGCACATCATATAAATTATATGGTAATTAAACGAAAAGGTGAAAGAAAAAGCATCACTTCCACGAACCCATTGTTTAATTAGTCAAATAAGTTCTTAAGTGCGTTGCGTTTGACACATGGTTCAGGCACCAACACCTTTTGGCTGTGATCATTTTGTTGATTGCGTAGTGTGGGTGGGATTGGCATTTCATCGTTACCTAAAATCACTCCTTGCTTTTGCATGTACTCCCATTTGTCTTGAAACAGATATAAGAAAGCCATGAATGAGACTTGTGCTGTGAAAAGGATAGCCAAGAGCCTTGTACTTCTAGACATTTTCTTATGATACGCATTTAAGCCTGTATAAATGTTGATGATTCCAGCCAGAGAGATCATTGTTCCTAGTATCCAATGAATAAAGTACCATGTGCTTCTTCTTTTATTCCCTCTGCAGGAAGGGAATTAAAGTCGTTAATAATTATAATAAAAAGATTCATTATCAGTAGTGCATTCCATATACAGTACTTAGTTTTTACTTTCCCAATTGGATTATCAAGGTGTGTATATATATATATATATATATTGAATTTTGTTTAGCTTTACATGGCAAACTGGCAACTTCTTTTCATCCTATGTATCAGGCTTATGTTTGCATGTTGCTACTCTCTTTCTTCCCAAGGTCGTTGCCTCTTGGAGCTTTTTTTAATCTACTTTTGCTTATAAAAAGGAAAAAGGTTGGATTATATAGGTTTTAATTTGTTACGAGAAACAAGATGAGTTACCTACGAGGCCTGAATAATCCCACAACAGCTTGCACCCAGATGGCTCCATAAAGTGCCAGACCTATTCTCTGGTGGTTGTTGTCAAATGAGTTCTCGAAAGATTTTATGGACATGATAGCTCCAGCTGTGGCAAGAAGAACTGCTAGAGTCTGCATGTCAAATACAGGCATGCATATATTTGAATTAGTTAAATGAGAAATATAAATAAAAACAGTTTTTTCGCTAATGAAAAATAAAAGGAAAAAAAAAGTTCTATATAAGATCACATGTATATTTACCAATAATCATGATGATAAATCTTCATTATTCCAATACCGAAATCAGCACTCTATTTTTCGAAGAATGAATTATATGTACATATAATTCACATCCGTTCCTTGCTTTTGATATATATATATATATATATATATATTGAAATGGAAGTTTTATAGGCTTTTGACCTCTCTTATATTACATAATTATTTAAAAAAATTTAAATTATTAAGCTTCGAATTTTTTTGCTAAAAAATTTAATTGGATACATAATTGTTAGAACAAATTCAATTAAAGTATATATGTTTTCATATAAATAAAGTAAAATTTGAAGTTTAATTTTCCTATACTATTAATTGAAGACTTTGAGGCCTCTTCCACTAGAAAGGCAAAAGACAAAAGAAAGGAAAAGTTGCGGATATCATCATTAAAGTTAAAGTGTCTACATGTCGAGCTATCATGACGATTTTAACAAAAGATAATCCATGATCACAACTACTACTCTAAAAGACTCTTTTCTTTTTCTTAATCCATTTCCCTCCTTTTCTTTTCTTTTCTTTTTTTATTTTCTATTTTTTTCCTTCTTTCTCTTGTGATGAAAAATGAACCATGCATGATTTGCAAAAGAGATATTCAAAGAGTTTAGTTACCTGCAAAACCAGATGAATATAGAATAGAGCTTTCCTTCTTCCACCTTCCTCTCTATGGGACATTCTAATAGCAAGGACCCCAAGAGGCATTAAGAACCCCATGGAAGTCCAAGAAAGAACCCCGTGAAGGTTGATATCTGAGGTCATTTTAGGGCTCAACTGTTGAAAACGTAAAGAAGATGTAGTCCACATTAATATTTATATACAGAAAAGACCACATATACTTGATTAGCTGAGAAAGAAGAAGAAGACGAAGAACAGAATAGTTGATGAAAAAAAATTAACATCTAAATTCCTTGGCAGAAGATAAAATTTGAAGAAAGAATACACACTTACCTTGTGATTGAAGTTGTCTTGTGTTCCCTTGTGACCTTTCACATCTTCATGGGATATGCAAGCAGCAAAGGGTATAAGTACAGCGTAGTATGATAGGATAGACAAAGATGCAACCGAATGAAATTTTTGCATTCTTTAACCAAACAGCAAACTAAGAAAGATATATAGGAGGAGCACAAAGAAAGAAAATAAAAGCACGTACAAACCCTACTTATTTTTGTATTCTCTCTCTCATGAGAAGAAAAGAAGAACCCAGAAGAATAAATATAGTTTGTTTAATTTGGGTGGCAACTTGAGATGAGCAAGGAAAAAAAAGGAGCTATTTTTATTGAGTAAAAGTGGAAATGCGGTATGATTATTGATGACTAGTGTTCGAGTATATAATTAAAAATGACCACCATAGCTAACACAGCTCATAGATTTATAAGCATGAGCGTTTAATGGTGGTTGCAGTCTTGTAGAGGACGATAATTAGAAATGACCGAGAAGAAAGAAAGTGGACATTAATTTTATTTTGTTTGAGACTTTCAACAATGTGGGGTTGACATTCGCAGGCTTTTTGGTCGGTTGCAAAAAGGAATTGTAGGTTGGCGAAAAAAAAGAAAAAAGAAAAAAGAAGATAGGTCGATCTCTTCATAGATGCATGGGATGTTAGGGCAGTATGGTGAACGCACCTATATGTACGTGATCATGAACAACGTATAGTAGTCTATGTAGCTCTTTCGATGATACTTCTGGTTAGAAACATTTTTTGTTTTCCCAATTTCTTTGTTTTAATAGGATTTTCATATAATGTATAACCCAACCCACCAGCATCAGCAATTAGAAATCTTAATTCTGCTCCTGCATGTATTTATATTAATAAGAAACGTACGTAGAAGAGAACCTACAGGCTAATATAGTATGAAATTTCTCAAGGTGGCACAGACGATTCTGGACTTACTGGTAGTGGGTTAATCCAAGAGAATTTCTCAAGAATTGCCGCTTTTTCGGTTTTCAGCGGTGGCAGATGTACGAGGGATTTCATTTTCAATTGTGACCTTATGTAAGCCCAACATGATCATGTTCTATGAAGAATTGGCAGGTTTGGTCATCACTGTGATTCCGTTTAATAAGTGTCGCTTTTGGGTCCACTTCTTCCTTATTGGAACTGAAAAGCTGTACGATCCTTACTTTATAACGACGAGAGAGAGAGAGAGAGAGACTCACCGTGACATGGTAACTTATCAAATTATAATATAAATTATAATATTAAAATTTTAATTATCAAATAATTACGAGTTTGAATCTTAATTAAACATAAGATAATGATAAATTTGTAAAAATTTCAAGTCTAAAAATCTTTTACTTAAGAATGCGTTAAAAAATAATATAAACAATATATTAAAACTTTACATAACAATTTAAATTTTTAGGCTGAAATTATTTTTTCATACTACAAACTTAACCTTTCACAATAAACCTAAGTACATGATTAATTAATTGATGCATTAATTTTTTGTTTCTTTAAATTGAAGTTAATTGTTTTGGAGATTAAAAAAAAAAACATAATAAATAAATTAATTTAGAGTTGTGAGAATCATTTTTTTTAAGATGTTGATTTATCGAACGTAAACAATATTTTTAGTATACAACCAAATTCTTAAATTTTCTTTAAGAACAAAAAGAAATAAAAAATGAAAATTGACGGGTTTTTTTTTATTTTATTATTTTGTGTAATAACATATTATATTTATAGACTTGAAACAACACTTTGTAACCTTACGATTTTCTTTCTTTGAAAAAATAGTTACGTTATATTTTTGAATTTAACTCATAAATAACCATCAATTCAATTTAATTTTAAACGTCACACCTATAAATTAACTTGTGCAAATATAATAAACTTTGAAAATTGGAAAGGAATGCTTCTCTCTATATTGTCTTTCTTATAAGTTAGTTTTGTCTAGTTTCATATGGTGATGTTTAGGCTATTGTAAAAATTATAATTTGAAATATAGAGTCGCCATTCACTTTTTTTACATATTAAAAAAAAAAAAAAAAACTTGCTAGGCTAGTCTTTAGAGTTCTAGTTAAAGGAGTTATTTATACAACTAAAAAGACCACAATAGCTCTAGTACACTATTGTAATAAGATTACTATTCAATTTTAACCAATAAAAATCCATTCAAACAAGTTCATTTTGTATCCACTTTTGTATCCCGAATTATGAATTATAAAACTTTTTCTAATCATTCTAAATGAGGCGATTTGAAGACCGAAAGAAGGTTCGGTCTCTCACCTAAATTTCTATTGAGCCATTGGAGACCAATTGAACAGGAGATAACTTGAGCTAAAAACCCATTTGCTAATTAAATACCCATTCCCATAGAGACAAAATCAAATAAAATAAATTTAAATCTTATATATGTTCAAGTTCATAACGTACTTGCATGCATATAGCAGAATACAATGTCAAATAGAGACGGATCAATGGCACTAGCTTTGTCTTCTCTAACCGATTAAAGTGGTATGATGCTTTTTAGTGGAGAGGGTGCTAGTGACAAGCGGCGAAGCTATATTTTCTTCTCCTTTGGTTTCATCTTTCTCTCTCTTTTTGTTTCTATCAATGTGTTACTTTTGTTTTTTTTCTTTTGCAAAGGTTTTTTTTGCTATATCTGTTCGTTTGTGTTTATGTGTGAGGATAATGTATTCATATGTGTGCACCTATGGGTGCTTTAGATTAAAATTTTCCTTTTTTTTTCTATTTTTATTTATTTTTTCATATTTAGAATTACTTGGTGAGCTTGGACTATTCCAAACCCCCTTATCTCTTTTTTTTTTTTTTTAAGAGAAAAAATAAGATGATGATAATTATCCTCTCTTTACAATACTTACATGAAGAGGATATAGGAAGACAAGTCCTCCCGTATCATACCTCAATAAGCTTGTAAAAAAGATATGCTACTATGATAGTAAAAAAAAAAAAAAAACAATACTTACATGAAGAGGATATAGGAAGACAAGTCCTCCCGTATCATACCTCAATAAGCTTGTAAAAAAGATATGCTACTATGATAGTAAAAGAAAAAAAAAAACAATACTTACATGAAGAGGATATAGGAAGACAAGTCCTCTTGTATCATACCTCAATAAGCTTGTAAAAAAGATATGCTACTATGATAGTAAAAAAAAAAAAAAAAGCTCATATATGATAGGGTCACTTCCTGGCCTTACAAGAAAGATTGGTTCTCTATAACAAATAGTTGTTTGGCTTTTAAAAAACAAAGGTCATCTATGACAAGATGACTATAGAATTAAAAAACAAACCACTCATGAACGATTTGATTGAAAAATTAAAAAAAAAATTGAATAAAAAAATTACTTTAGTTGATTTAATTTTAGAAAAAAAATTGGATTGGAAAAGTAAACCACTCATGGGTGATTAGATAAAAAAAAAAATTGAATAAATGAATTGCTTTTGAATGAATCAATCTTTGTAAAATAAGACTGGAAAATTAAATCGCTCATGTATGATTAGATCACCGAACAAAAGAAATCTAATATATATAAAGCTGCTTTGGATGATTCAATTTTAGAAAATAAGATTAAAGAATGAAATCGATCATGGGTGATTCAATCAAAAAATAAAGTAAGCAAATAGTTAAACCTCTTTTGGATATTTCGATTTTAGAAAAAAAATTGAATAAAAAAACTACTTTTGGGTGGCTCAATTTATTTTTAAAAAAAGTAAGATAAAAAAATGAACTACTTATGGATGATCCAATCAAAAAATAAAAGAAATCAAATAAACAAACCGCCTTTCGATAAGTATTATAATAAAGAGATAAGACTATATCAAACAAACATAGTTTTGAAAACTAGTAATCTTGATCGAGTGACCACCTATGATGTTGTTAAGACTCAATTTAAAACCCTTATATTTTCACAAATTTCCCAAAAAAAAAAAATCAAAAAATTAAAAATTAAATATTTTATTCGATCAATTTGATTTTTCAAAATTTAAGCTATTTTTATAAATTTTCATGAATTTGGTTATTTTTTTGAGTTTTTAAAAAATTAATTAAATAAAAAAAATGAGTGAAGAAAAATAATCAATGAAAAAAAAAACGAGAGAGAGAAAAGAAAAATAAAATAAATTGAAAAAATATCGTTTGGGTACCAATTGAAAAAAATTAAGTGAGTAAGACCAAAAAAGATATAATTAAGGACACAATTGGAAGAAATAAAAAGATAAGGTTTTAATTGATGATGAATTTACATAAATTGAGAGAAATAAAAGAAAAAAGGACCGAAAAAGTTCAATTGGGAGAGCAATTGAAAGCAAATAAAAGAATAGAGGATTAAAATAGATAAGACGCATAGGATGAACGGCCAAAGTGAACTTTAGCCACTAAACCCAAAACCCTCCATATAAAAGCTTATCTTTTTCTTTCTCTAATTGGGGAGGGTGACTGAGAGAAAAAATTTTTGAAAAAAAAAAGCGAGTTGAAACCCTCGAGAGGACCTCTCTCCCAAGCCATCGATTGTCTCTTACCTGTACTACCTAACATTCCCACTACCGTTAGTCACCAATGCCTTCACTCGTCTCTTTCATAAATGACCAAACCGATTCCCATTTCCATCATCCATCACTCGTTTCCTCATGTCGTTTATCTCTCTCCTCATTGAACCCAGCTCGCAATCACAAAACCTAAATGTTGATTCAAAATTATTTAAGCCTCTACAATAACCATTGCCCTCCTTACCTTCCCTTTCATCCACTAATCCCACCATAGACCTCCTTACCGCTATCAAAAAAACCTAGCTAGAGACCTTCTCACTACTGCCACTCCAAGCATTGTTACCCACGTCGAATCCGCCACTAGGCCTTCCTCTCACTACCATCAAACAATCACTAGCACCGAGACCTTTCCTCTATTTCAAATCTACTATCACAAAACTCACGACTATTATTACCACCTAAATCTATACCCTATTTATTTTTAATTTAAAAAATAATAAAAAGAGACAAAAGCAAAAAAGATAAGAAAAAGAAAAAAAAGATAAATAGAAAAGATTGGATTTTGATCCAATTAAAAAATCTAAGAAATTAGGACTAAAGAAAATTTAATTAGAAGGTTAATTGAAAA